CACACACAAGAAGAGAAAACGAAACGAAAGACAGGCAGACTCTGCACGAAAGCCCAGTCCGTGCTTGAAGCAAGAGCTTGAAGCTAGAATATGTGGGTATGTCTGCTGCTTCAGGGCTTCGGCTTCTGGCCCCGCCGGCCACCGGGTTGAGGCCCAGGGGCTTCTGCCGTCGGAATTGCCGCTGGGCTGAGGGCACCCCATATTAAGGGCACCCCGTTTTGCTGTGGGTTTGCTCCACCCGGGCTTTTGAAGGAGAACCGGCATGAAGAGTCGGGCCAGGGGCTGGGTTGTGGCCTCGTGGCCCCAAATGGGAACGTGCCACGTGTAACCGCAGGCCGTCGCAGCACCCCGGAATACGGGGCGGGCGAGCAGCCCCACTGGCCGCCTGCGAAGAAGCCGGAGCAGGATTAATCCCTCGAGGGTGTATTCTCTGTTTAATTGGCCCATCTTTGCACCCTCTCACTGCCCCCTCTTGTGTCCCGACCTCCTTAACCCACATCTCTCCCCGTCTAATCCCGAGGCGGGTGACACCTTTAATGGGTTTTCAGCCTAGCCAAGCTGATTGTCCCCCACCCAAACCCCGCGGCCCCCCTCCCTGCCTCGGTCGCAGCAAACAAACAGGTGGATTAGCTGAGTGGGGAGACTTTTAATGGGATCTGGGGAGTGGGCCAGAAGGGACGATTCTCCCGCTGGAGCAGCCGGGGTTAAACTTTTAACCCCTGTATGCCGCAAGCTTCCCTCTCCTTTGGATGACGAAGGCAAGATTATCTCTCCAGGGTGCAAGGGGTTAAACGGTGCAGGGCAGGAAGCCAGAAGGTCTGCCAAACTGGGGGGAACGGGGAGGGGGTCTTGGCAGCAGATGAGATGCGCCTGGGCTCCGTTTCCCATGGGGCAGAGGACGAGGCAGGATTCCTGGATTCGCTCTAGGGTAGCCTCCCCCAGCTGGAGTCCTCCAGGTCTGTTGGACTACAGCTCCCATCATCCCTGGCTGGGAATGATGGGAGCTGCCGTCCAACGCTTGCAAAGAGTGCCGGGATAGGAAAGGTTCCTCTACAACATGGAAGGCCGATCTTTAGACTGCCAAGTTCAATTTGTTTGTATCTTTTTAAAATGGGGACTTAAAATGAGACCACTCTCATGGCAGAAAGTGAAGAGGAACTAAAGAGCCTCTTGATGCGGGTGAAGGAGGAGAGCGCAAAAGTTGGCTTGAAACTCAACATTAAGAAAACTAAGATCATGGCATCTGGTCCTCTCACTTCCTGGCAAATAGACGGAGAAGAAATGGAGGTAGTGACAGATTTTATTTTCCTGGGCTCCAAGATCATCGCAGATGGGGACTGCAGCCAAGAAATTAAAAGACGCTTGCTCCTGGGGAGGAAAGCTTTGGCAAATCTAGACAGCATAC